CCCCAAAACCCCAAAACCCCATCTTTTTATCAAGTGGAAGATAAAGCAAAAAGCATTAAACAGTTCGTCTAAAATTTAAATTCAAGTGTGCTTCCTAATAAAATCCTTTATTTTTTCTTCCTTTTCTCTTGCTACTACCCCATAGTTTTTGAATTACGACCACTATAAATTTTTTAAAGGAAGTATGAAACTTACATCTAGAGATCCTTCTTTTCTTGTATCTAGAGCAGTCATTAATTCTCTTGCCAACGATTGAATAAGTTTTTAGATAATCAATCTGTTTTCATCACTCTTACCCTTGATAAGATCCTCAAAATTTTCCATCAATAAATCACATAATTCCTGCTAATCGATTCTAAATCAAGTTTTAGCTAAATTATGTTTTATTACGATCCACTTTTATCATGATCATGAGTGTCAAATGCTTTTTTAAGGCTAAAGTCAAATATCTCTATTCCAGTCTATAATTATAAATATCTTTGATATCATTAGAATTACAGTTGGATCAGGCGAGGCTAGAAATTGAATCCACTCAAGCCTATCAATTGTACCTGAACCATCTCTATCCATCAATTTTAAATCTCTTTATACTCTACTTTCTAGTGGTTCTTCTTCATCAATCAACCATATTAAGGTTTTAAGCTCCATACTGTCAAGCTCATTGTCATTGTTAATGTCAGTGGCAGAAAAACTTGCCCACGGTTTCATTACAGTATAGAATTCAAACTCGCTAACTGCTCCTTTGTTCTCATAATCCAATATCATAAAAAGTCTCTCAACAATGTGTGACTATATATCTTTCATCGCTTATTTTAACTCTTATCTTAGTTCAATCATAGTTGCATACTAAAATTGATTTACATATAAATTTTACTTTTTCTCCCATAAAATCAATAGCGATTCTATCAAATGACTATTTATAATCGGCCAATAAGTTTCGATATCTCTTTCTTGCTCTCTCAAAAGTTTACTATCCTGTATATTTCAATAAGAAATCTTATATATCATCTGACTCCTTAATCCATGTAGCAAACTCAACATATTCAATGCTATAAATAATCATTATATCATTTCTTGCGAATGTATTTTACTTTTCATTTTTATTGAGATCAATCTATTTAAAGATCACATAAGCGAATTGCTGGACATCATCCCTTCTAGGTATTGGAATACTTAATAATTTACAGAGTCCGAATATCCCATTATATAAGAAATTTAAAAGTTCTTTTCTATCAATCGAGCCATTATCATCTTAATCAAAGGCGAGATAGATTCCTCTTATTTTTCTGTCGAATTCTCCTTTAGAAAATAATGATAAAGCAACAAATGCTTCATAAAAATTAGCCTCTCCATTAGTCTATATTTCATGAAGAATAATAGACTTCTAACTTGTAATTTAATAAAATAAGCTTATGTGTCATTAAGCAATGGGGAGAAGACATCATCAAATTCTTCCTCGTTTAATGTGGTTCTATTTTTGTAAATCTTAATAAAATATTCAAAGCAGTCAAACACATGAGTTAAATTCACTAATAGAAATAGGAAAATTGATGAAATACACTTTCTAAAGAATTTTAGTAGCTTTTTATCTGCTTTTTGAGATTCTGGCACTCTAAGATAGTTACCCATTTAATCAGATTTATGAAATTAAGAATTAATTAAATTTAATCATTTATGTTGATCCTTTTTAATTTGACTCATCGCTGATCCATCTCCATATTTCTCCTTAAGTTTATTCATCTTCTCTAGTAATTCCTCTTTGTTTACTTGTTTGTTCTCATCACCTTTGCTCTGATCGATGTAAACAGCTGGATTCTGAACATGAATATGCTATCTCTCGGGGGACCCGTTTCTAGGATTGTCCTTCTTTCTTGTTGTTCCAACTGGTAATGCAAGACTTAGTGCACTTTTATAGCTTGCTGGTCTCTTTGCATAGTCTTCCTTCTTAGAAGCTGCTGCTTAATCTCTCTCTTTCTAGATTACTTCTTACAGAAGTCTATCATCTTAGTTATCTCTTTCTCTTGGAATTTTGAATTCTCTATCTCTTGATCTAGATCTTTTCCTTTATTGATTAGACCCTCTCACTTCCTCTTATTAATCAGGCTCATCCCAGCTATCATTTGAATTTGATCTCTTTCTATGCTTTTGTTGCTCATCCTTTTTATTGATAAGCAAAACATCCTCTAGCCCTAAAAATTCTTATGCTTCCTCATCCTTGGTAAAAGGACCCTCTATAAAATTCACTTAAAGCTTTCTAATTATTCTCACATCTTCATCATCTTCATCATATTCATTATCAAATTCTTCATTTTCTTGGAAAAATTCCTCATCTATTCCATAATTTTCAACTTTTATGATAGGCAAGGAGCTCAAATAATGAATACCAGTAATTTTAGCTCTGTGCCATTACTGATCTCTTTTACTGAAAGCAAATATTATTGATCCCTTGTGAAATTATGCTGATTAACTAATATTATCAAGTTTCCTCTTTCTTTTTTCAGGAATTGAAAGTAATTTTTTCTGTATTTCTCTATGCTATAGAATGGGAATTCTTGGCAATACTATGTTGAAATAATTCTTTTCTGACAATAATTTTTCAACATATTCCCCGAAATTAATCTTAGACTTATCGATAGAATAGCAAAATTCCTGTTCATCAAGCATGTAGGGACTTAATCTATCCCAAAGCTAATCATGCGGACTAAGGAATCTAATATAGAGAGCACCACAGGCTCTAACATATTGACTATGCTTGTATTTTATTAAGTTACCAACTTATTTTTCATTTAGTCTCATTAACATTAATTTGTATAAGCAACAAAATAAAGAAGATGGTATACTATTTGCTCCAATAACCCAAGCATCTGTATAAGTGACATTAGTTTTTATTTCTTCAATAACTTCTTAAAAGCTCTTTAAAGCATATAAATCCTTGAAATACTAACAAGAAAGTATGTTATTTCTTAACATATCAGGGAGATTTCCATTCTTATAATCACAATTAATTGGAAATGGTCCGTTTTGCTAGATCAATTGATGCACTGATAACTATTATGCTTAAATTGCAATATTATCAGCTTTATTTTCGCTTAATAGTTGCTCAAGCTTTTAGTTTTTCCTCTACTCATAATCCTCTCTTATTTTTTTGCATGATCTACAGTTTTTATTCTAAAAAATATTGGTTGGATGAATTTTGCATTGTGGTAGTTCTTAAAGGACTTTCTATTCTATTTCTTTGATTTTCATTTCTTATTCATAATCTTTTGAAGTAAGAACATTCTCTACTAGTTTATTATATTTTTAATGCTCAGTCATTTATGACTCTTTAATATTATCCATTTATTATTGCATTTTCTCTTTTTAGATTGATTTTTGGTTATACCTAGGATTATTACCGGAGGATCCTCCATTTCTTTTTTTTTCTTCGTCCTCATATTTCGCCTGTTAAACATAATAGTCATCTGAGCCTTGAGGAGCAAATGGATCATTTTATGCAATCTCTGAATAATAGCTTTACAGTTATATTTTCTTTTCCCTGATTTCTTTTTCCATTTGATCCGCGGTTTAATCCACATCATAATTAGCTTAATTCTGATAGTACTAAGCATTTTACTCATAGTAATCTGCTGGATAAGAATTATATGAATATTATTAAGCCATTTAAGTCTAATTCTAAGCATAATAATCAACATGCTGTTGATTATATTCTTATCCTGGATTATAGCCATGAAGAGACTACTAGTATTGATAATAATAATCGTATTGACTTTAGTTATTCATTTTTAATTTTATTCTACTTATTTAAATTTATTTTTTGTAAATGGGGTTTTGGGGTTTTGGGGTTTTGGGGT